AGAGGAAGAGCAGCCCCTTCCCTCGCCGGTCGAGCCGGTAGTCAATGCCACCGCAGAGCCATAGTAGAAGTTTTAGAGTAGAAATACTTTAGCAAATGTAGAAGATAATGTCGTGGGGGAGCCCCATGTGTAAAGTGTTTTTGTGTATTCATGAATACAATAACTTTGTTTTTGTGATGGAACTATTTTGTTCGGGGAAGCTTGTCCCGTCCGTTCCTTATTTTTACCTTAGCATAACTTTGTTTTTTATTCTCTTCTTTTTCGCACCTGCCTGTTCGCACCGTAGGCTACAACCCTAAGAGCCTGGGCATGGCCCGCGAGGCTCAGCCGCTCATAACCGTAGGTAGAGGCGGGTGCGATCGGTTGGAATATTTAAAGCAAAGTTACGTAAGGTAATTAAAGGAATGGACTACCCTTTTGTTCGGGGGGAAATGTATTTTATCATATGATAGTAAAAAGAGGGGTGGCAATGCACCCCCGTGGAGCCCCTGAGCGACCCGGACCAAAAGTGTTTGGGTCAGGGCGCTCTATAGGAGCAAACGTTAAGTAAAAAATGATAAGACTGAATTTTAGGGGAAGAAACGACGTAGCTGTTCGCTGTTCCAAGTGTTGGTGAGAATGTTGCCGTTTTCATCCTTCAGTCGGTAGGTGTATGGTCAGATCACCACGGTCGCCATATAGGGACCTTCAGTTGTCCGGATCCTTGCCCGCTACACCCCCTTTCTTGGTCGTTGCTTCTTTATCTTTTCCTTCCTTCGGCCCGCCGTCCTGTCGAAAGGTGCTTGAGGACCTCGCAGTCCTTATAGAGGTGTTTGATGGGGTAGGCATGGTTGGTGCACGGGCTCTCCATGAGCTCATTGAAGTGGTCCAGAAGGCCCTGCTGGGGCTGCTTGCAAGTGTGACCAGCAGTGGCGACCAACGTGGAGTTGGCCGGTCGGCGACGATCTTTTTTGTTCTTTTTGCCCCTCTGCGTGGAGGGGCCCTTGTCCTGATCCTCGCGCTTGGCCTTGCCTTTGCCTTGGCCTCTGTTGAAGCATTGCGGGAGCGGCGCTCTCTAGATACGTCGGGCAAAGGCCCATGGTCCTGGGCCATCCGAGTTGGGACTCCGGTCGTCCGGCCGGCGACCGCGCTTGGGGTGTGTTTCACCACTCCTCGCGATGGTCCGGCCGGTGATGCATGTCGCCGCCATCACTACCACCGATGGACGCCATCATCATGCCGGGGGTAGCGCGATTCGGTTGATGTACGCTGAAGCGTCTTGTTTTGCCGAGCGCGAGCCGCTATCGCGTATAGGCGGTCGGTCGCGGCGTGGGCGCCAGTCAAGCCGCCGGTGTCTTTATAGCGATGGCGGGTGGAGCGATTCGTCGGCGGCCCCCACTCCCCTAGTGGGAGAGAGGCGCGAAGTCGGTGTCATGATGCGGAGCTCTCCTCCTATTGAATGGCAGCGGTTTCTACTAGTGCCCGGAGGTTCCGGTGGATCGCCTGTTCCTAGGGGTCGTTCGGCTCGGGAAGGCCGTGCAGAAGCATTGCCGCAGCGGCGATGTTCTGGTCAGCCCGAGTGAACTGTGGGGGATCGTTCCCTCATCCATGATATTGTCTTTGGACTGGCGGCAGCGCGACCACAGGCGCGCTTGTCGCCGTTTTATGCGCACGGGCACGCTGATGTGGTGCACCGAGCGCGCCGGCGTAGGTGGCGGCTGGTTCTACCGCCGTTGTCATAGCTCCTCGCCGTGCTCTCGTGTGAGCGCGAGGGTCCCCGCACGAGGGTCCGGAGGGGTGTGAGCCTACAAGGACTCCGCTACCACCGGCGGCTGTCCCGTAGCGTCTGTCATAGCGCACTCCCGAGACGGACGATGGCTAGGTGCCACGTCGCCGATGCTGGAGCCGTCACTCTCAACATCGTCATCCATGAGGTCGAGGAACAGGTGAGAGCATAGCTCGCCATCCCTACGAATTCGGACGTGAGAGGGGGCGGCGCCGGCATCCTTCGGAGCCCCTAGGCGTACGCATCCACGGGGAACGCGAGGCCATAGGGGAACCGGTCGCATGTGGTCGCGGTAGGGACAACGGGGTCCCTCCGGATAATCAACGGAAGATAGCAAATAGTGAGTAAATAACAGTATGTATATTACTCGCAGCAGGGTTTGAGCAGAGAGTTTGCTCGAAATGAAGCGCAGGCGCCTCGTCGTGCGTACCGGAGACGAGGGATGGCGCTCCTCCGACGGGCGCCGGAACAAGTGCCTCCTCGCGGAGGTGTAGTACGTTGAGCCGCGCGGCGATGAAGTCTAGGCTTCTGAAGAGGAAGGCCTGGGACGGCTCGAAGACGGGTGGAACCCACATCCCAACAGGTGGGAGTGCGGGAAACTCCAGTGAGCCGAAGCGAGTCGTATCGCTTGAGCCCGTCACGGCGAAGGTGGTGGAAAAGTGGGCCATCTGATGACCAAAAAGTGTGAACGTACAACGTCTTCCCCACGTACGGCGCCAACTATCGGTGCAGAAAGTGACCAACACGTAAATATTTGTAGTTTTGTTGTACGTTGTGATCAGAGGTGGCCTGGCACTCAATGGCACAGGGTTTATACTGGTTCATGCAACGTGCCCTACATCCATTTTGAGTCGGTCGGTGACTTTATTCCTGAGCCTAGGTGCTCGAAGTTTGTTGTGGGGTTACAAACGAAAGGGAGAAAGATAGATGGGGGGTACAAGAGATCCGGTCGGACTCTGGTCTGAGGGACCGAGTGTGACGGGAGCTCCGCTATGCGCTAAGTGTTTGAGCGTGTGCTCGAGATTTGAACCTAGTGGTTCTGCTGTTGTGTGCTAGTGAACTTGATCGATCTATCTGTTTTGGGAGAGAGCGCATCCCCTTTTATAGATGATGGGGATAGCCTTACTAGTGAGAGGGAGAGAGCGTACGTATGCTAAGTCTTGTTGCCCACGCTATCGGGTACAGGATGATTGTAGGCGCCCATAACACTGTTTAATGTTAGATGCATGTGGGAGGTTGCGTCGTCTTCTTCAGGTATGGCAGACGTCGGTGCCTGCCACACTGTTGATACCCAGAGGCATGTAAGGGGTTTTACCATGTTTGCCTGGTACGGTAAATGCCGACGCCCACAACACCGTTGATGCCTCAGAGGCACGTGGGGGGAACCTTTCCGTGTTTGTCTGGTATGGGAGTTGAAGGCGCCCACAACACTGTAGGGGAAATGTCGACGCCTACAACACTGCTTGGGTTCTATCATGCCAGGAAGGTCGCAGGGTACTGTCTGGCAGGTGCACGGGGTACGGTTCTTGGTATTGTGGTTGACTTGAGTGTCATGTCTTACTTTCTCCGTCTGTTTCTTGGTCCTTACCGAGCGGGCGTTTCCGGTCGGTTGGTCCCAGTCGGCTCTGATTGCGCCAGTTGGAGAAGAACAGTGAGCAGGGGTTTGACGCATCCCTAGTCGGAGACGCGGGTCGGAGTCGGAAGCGGTGTTTGACCAGGCCTTCCGGTCGGAGAGGCCATCCGGAGGCGGGCCGGAGTCGGAGGCGAGGCCTTCCGGTCGGAGAGGCGGGCCAGAGTCGGAAGCGGGTGACGTTCCTTCTCGTCCAGGCATTCCGGTCGAAGACTGGATCGCCCTTCTATGTCATTTTAAGTATTTGGACCGGCCCATGAGTTACGCGCCATTTGCAACGTTGTCTGCTAGGCCGAGCCTTTATTAGAAAGCTGATCGATAAGGGACTCCGGGTTTATGAACCCGACACTCCTGCAATACTAGAAGTAGGAGTCCAGAGCAGCTCGCCCAAACGCTCTACCTGGCTAGCCACAACTCCGACTTCCACCTATCATAGTTGTCTCTTTATAACCTATATGACGGCATCAAAGCCAAAAGGACAGTACGATCAAGATCAGCCTTTTTAGACCCCATTTGTGAGTGTTGGTGACTGCTTTAGTCTTTTATTAGTTAGGACAGTTGCTACCTCTGCAGGTTGCTCTATCTATATGCGAAACCACCCAATTTGTGAGTGTTGGTAACTGCTTTAGTCTTTAATCAGTTGAGACAGTTGCTATCTCTGCCTATATGGGAAACCACCAATACATATGACATGAACGTTTGGAACATACTCTCACTATAAAAAAAACACATATCTCGTATTTTGAGAAGTCAAACTTTCTAAAAAAGTAATTATATTTATAGGAAATTGTCTCGATATATCTCTATATATAATATATTTACTGTTAATCTAACGATTCTTATTACACACCATAAATATTAGTTTCTTTATATATTTAGATAATCTTAGAAATGCCTTTTAAAAAATAAATACTTATTACAGACCATAAATATCAGTATTTTTTCTATGTATTTAGATAAAATTTAAAAGTTTGAATTTTTTAAAAGTGAGACATAAACGGATGAAATAGGTGCAGGTTCGGACCCACGTTCACTCTTTCCCTTTCCTTGGTTATCAGTTAACTCACAATATGGGCCGCAGAGACCAGAGGCACGGGGGCGTTGGTAGGCTTTCGGCCCAATGCGCTTGCGGCGAGTGGGTGGGCGCCCGACGGCCCGAGTCCACGCCGTCGCCATTCGTTTTGCGGGCCCCATCCCGTGCTCTTGGATCCTATCGCACTCAGCGTCTCAGCAATAGGCCGGCCGGACCGTCAGCGACGGCTACTCGCGCCCAATCCCCTTAGAGCATCTCCAAGATTTCCTAAATATTACTTAAAAAAAAATCTATGTTTGTCAACTTCTAAAAAAAATTTAGGAGAAAAAAAGAACTTAGTTTCTAATATTTGACTTTAAAAAATCAAATGATGGTCTGATTTGACGTTTTTTTTTCTCTGCAGCCTCCTCGGAGCCTCCGCGAGGTCGGACGCCGCCTGCTCCAGTGCCCCGACCGCGGACACCATCGCCGAGACCAGCTGTGTCGCCGAGGCGAGCACCTGCACCACGTCAATGCTTCGAGAACCCGCTTCAGATCACGGCCGCAAAAGCAGCGCTCCCTTGCAGGAAGACTCAGCGCAGGCTGCAGCAATTCCACAAACACATCGCGTGCATCCTCATGGCCACCGCCGCAAACACGGGCAGCGCAATTTCTCGATCCATCAATTCAGACACGAGCAAGCAAGCAGCCGATCGCTCACCCCCACAAGCACCAATCTGAATCCCAATCCCCGCTCGCATCAGTACTGCTAGCAGTCCACCCGCAGCGGCCCCGGAGGCAGAGGCGGATGGCGCGGCGAGGAGGAGCTTCTTGAGGAGGCCGGCCACGGCCAGCGGGGCCCTTTTGGAGGCGACGGCGAAAGCCATGGCAAGATGTCTCTCTCTCGCCCTCCCTCACCGAGGTGGGTGACGCCCAGATGCCTTGACAGCGACGGGAGTGGGGTTGGGTACCGGGGTGGGGCCACGCGTGGGAGGTGCACGGCGTCTCCGCGCGTGGCTTGGTCCGCGTAAAGTTACGTGAAAGAGGAAGGAACTTTTCGAGTCTAAAAAATTAGGAGTAAATATTAGGAGTTGTTGGAGATGATTTTTTTCATCTTTCTAAAAATAAGGATTAAGAAGATGTTTAGGAACTGTTAGAGATGCTCTACGCGTGCGCTGCCTTGTCCCTCCCGTGACCGCAGATCACGTCGTCTCTCTCGGTGGACGTCTTTCGCGCCCGGTGACATCGAGCCTGTGACCGCCGACCTCCTGGGGCCTGGGAGTACTGCCCGTGGGATTTTCCACCGACGCATCGACCGATTTGCCGCCGGATCGGACCTAGCCTAATCTTATCTTCTGCGGTTTTCTATGCAGAGAAACGACCAATCCAGCGCCCTGCCGGCACCTGTGAGGCCTGTTCGTTTGAACTTATCGGCCGGTTTATCAGTTAGAATCTACAGTATTTTTCTCTTACAATAAAACAGTTTTAGCCTGTTTATTGGCCGACTTTAATACCAGTCCAAATAGACCCGGCGGTGGTGCATGTAGCCACCGCATGATGGATGCTCATGCTCGCTACCCCCGGTGTGTCGCGCCCGCTGAACGACTGAAGCAGTATGGACCGGCCGGGCGTGCGCCAAAATGACGGAGGGCAGTCGGCGGAGCGAGCGCCGGCCGAGCGCGGGTTCGATCAATTCGATCGATACACCTGCCTGGCCCGGCGCGTAGTACGGGCTCGGCGCGTGGCGATCCATCATGTCATGTGAAGGCGCAGGCGCTCCTCCCGGAGGCTAGGGTACGCAAGTACCTGGAATCATGACGGATCAGCGGCCGGGTGGGGGTCCATTTCCCGTGCAATTACGCACAGCGAAAACACTGTCCCACCGGCCGGCGCCTAACACGCACGCACTCCTGGTCCTGCCTCGCGCTAGCTCCGTCGGTCGTCGGCCGGAGGACGGAGCACACGCGACACGCGAGGAGTATATACTACTACGTACACGTACCTGCTAGGCTGCTACAGGATCCACCGTCCACGTCATTTGTTACAGTAGTAAGTACTACTCCGGCCAATGCCTTGAAAGTCGAAAGCTATACGTATATGAATCGATAGATCCCTTTCTTCATTTAATTTATGGATCTACCCCGACCTGACCTGACCCGGTGATCTCGGGCGAAGGATGGTCATGCCCGGAGGTCCATACGTCCACTGTCCTAAAATGACATACTCCCTCCGTACTAAAAAAAAAAATAAAATCGTTTTGACAAGGCTTAGATCAAACGTTGAGAATAAAAATCATGAATAATTTTTAAGTCGTTGAGTTTGGAAATACGAAAGCCATATAAATAGATTTGTCTTGAAAAATACATTCATAAAAATATACATATATCACTTTTTAATAAATATTTTTATAAAAACAATGAGTCAAAATAATATTTTGAAGACCGTGTCACTGTCCAAAACGACTTTATTTTTTAGTATGAAGGGAGTACTCTGTATACTCCAAGTGGTAGGAGTAGGGTACTAGAGTATAATTCCTCTGTCCACAAAAGAATATATGATTTGTGCCAATCAAATTAACTTTAACTTTGACTAAGAATCTATTTGGATTTTCTGGTCTAAAGTTTAGTTAGCTAAAGTTTAACACTAAAACTTTAGACCACTTTAGCTCACAAAGTTTTTTAAATAAGATTGGCTAAACCTTAGACATCTTCTTTAGAGCCTTAAGAGCTAAAATTGTCTAAAGTTTAGCCTGGGATCCAAACAGAACTCAAGTGTGTAGTGAATAATATTAACATTTATGCCCCCAACTAGAATTACTATTAAAAAATATTTTATAATTAATTTGATGGTACATATTTTATATCATAAATTCATGAATATTAATATTTTTTATATAATTTTGGTTGGCATGTGCGGTTTTTGTTTTCCAAAGAACGTATAAAAGGTTCAGAGCTTACAAGTAACTAAACGCAGACCACGCATGCTGGCTAAAATCTACGAGAAATCAAGTTTGACTTCACAGAGCCCGCATGACCATCAGCCAGTTCGGCATGACTGGAAAATATTATTTCGACTGATTGTTGTGAGAGAAAAATACTGTTCTGACAGGACGTGAACAGTGATTTTATGAGGTGGCTAGCCAGCCGGCAATCAGCCAGCCAACCAGCCGAACACGTAGCATATACGACAGATATATGTACTTAGTTTACGAACACACATAAGATACATCTTGTTCTCATATGCGAGCACATGCATGCGAGATAATGTCATAATAATGTGGTATTATCAGCTATAAACACAACACTTTCTCATGACTACTGGATAAATGGCTAAACATTTTAAAGGTCAATATCACTCTCGCTAGTCACAAATAGCTGTAATTAATTGGGTTGCAAGCACACAAGCAAGTTTGAAGACTGAAATACGGACGCCAATCACCCAGTTCGCTGATGCTGAAATTTTGTTTATGCTGATGCTTATGCTGAAATGTTGTGAGAGAAAAACATTGTTCTATGGTTGAAAAGTAGTTCTGAATAAGCTCAAACGAACTGGGCGAATATTTCTTTGGACACATTTGAAAATGGTATTGCTAGATTTGTGTTCAAAAGTAGTTTCAAAGTATCATAACTTTATTTGTTGTATGTATAGATCTCATACTAGCTATTATGCTCTAACGGTCAAACTAATGTCTTAGTGACTGTGTTCCTGTCCTAAAAGACAACGGACGATTGTGATTAGACAGAGTATTAATCACCATAAGGCATCCCAGATTCCCATATGTTTGAAAAGTCAATATCTACTCTTCAAAACTGATTTAATCTTCTAGCTAAGAAGAAGTATAATAGTCCTGTTTGGAACTGCTACGTTCCACGTTTTTCAGTTCCACTCCACGTTTTCATCCAAACGGGTATATCTCCATACAACTCTGCTCAAGGAAAAATGATGGAGTTGTGAGATCATCCGAAGATGTGCTCCATCAACTTTAGGTTTTTTGTGGAGCTGCTCCACAGTGGAGTTTATGGAGCAGAGTTGGTGGAGCAGTCTCAAAGAAGCTCTTATTATAGCCTAGCTGGTCAGTATTTTTCGTGATGTGGAGGAGAGAAGGAAGATCAGAAGGAGAGAGAGAGAGGAAAGCTTGACTCTCACGCCAACAACAAGTTGGGCGTGAGTCTATACAGTGATAGGCCCAAATATCGAGTGATAGGCCCAAATATTAAGTGAACGCGAAAATAATTATGAAAGAGAAGGTGAGAAATGTACAAAAGTAATAATAATAATAATAATAATAATAATAATAATAATAATAATATAGATAAATAAAAGACGGCTATGGTATAGTTACCTCTTATAAGTTGACTTATAGCTAAGCATTTGGCTCCTGCTCTAAATAGTACTTGCAAACAAGTTTCCATTTAACTGCGCAACACTTGTAGTGTCTCCAGCATTGACACCAGATAGACAGATACTAGCATTATGTTAGCGCGGTACGTATATATATGGAACTAACTAGCTATATCTACGTAGTAGTAGGAAATAAAAGCATGCATAGCGCTGCACAAGAAATAACTGGTGGCAACAAAGCTATTAGTTAAACATATAGACGAGTTCATCTAGAAAAGAAAGTACGTGATGTCTCGCTGGATCCCATGAACCAAAACGTTCGCATTAGAAATAATTCTTTAGTTTGATTCCAATCTTCCTATCTTGCAGCAAATTAACCAATGCAAATTGCTTTAACCTAATGAGCGAGAATGCTATAGACCTATCTACTAACTTAGAAATCGATCCGTTAGTTAGCAAGATATCATGTACGAGACAATTAGGATATTTGTAGTACACATACATGATAATGTTTTAACCAAACACATTAGTCGTAATAGAGGTCAATAGTGTAACATGGAGATGGAGGAACAAAAGTCAAAATGTGATATGCTTAATAGCCAACCTAATTCAAGTTTATTCTGTCAAAAGAAGTTGTCCAGATGAATCTTCGTCGTATACCAGGGATGCACAACATCTAGGTAAGTATTACCAGGAATGCACGACATCTAGGTAAAAGTTAAAGAACCAGACCATGCTTATATCATCACTACGAGGATACATATTTTCCAGCCATTTAATATACTTTGCATCCTATCTAATTAAAAAGAAAATCACATGCCAGTAGAAAAAGACTATTTTATAATAACAGTAGCTAGTAGATCAGAGTTGTTTTCCTAATTACTAGAAGTGTTCTCCCCCTGCTAGTGATCGAGTAACAAATAAGTGACCTGCGATGGTAACGTTTACAGTACTCCCTCCATTTTAAACTGTAAGTTGTTTTGGTTTTTATAGATACATAGATTTTATTATATATATAGATATATATAGTGTATGTCTGCTAGATGCATAGCAAAATCTAGATATCTACAACAGCCAAAACCACTTACGATTTAGGAGGGAGGGGGTACAAAATAAAAACACTTACCAATGTTTACTAACGAGCTAGCTACCAAAAGCTAGCCCAAGTATAGATGAAAATGATGAAGCCCCGGATCATAAACTGGACAACTATTTTTTTAGGAAACATTAACTGACCAAATATTTGAGATTATACATGAATCCATAATAATGAAATGACACATAGTATTTGAGTGAGTTGATAATAATGAAATGACAGATAATATATAATATAAATCACGCATTTTTCTACTCTTCAATGATTTTCTCTTTAATTTTAGCAGTAAACATAATCCTCACATTGGGGGTTGTTGCGTAGGAAAAGAAATAAGACTGAAAGAGCGAGGTGCATGCATGTGACGCTAGGACTGCCTCAGGTAACTGGCCAATACGATACCATGACATGCTAGCGGTAGCAGGGGCTAGCTCTTGCTAGCTTTAGCTTGGC